AAAATACAGTTGTTTTTTTTAATAAAATCAATTTGAAAACACGATTAAGACACATCGTGAGAATGAAAGGGGAGAACTCACCCACGAAAATGTAAACAAAAGAGCATAGCATGATGAAAAAGACGCCGAACTTGACGAAAACAAAATTTTATCGTCTAATGTTCATATTATTATTAAAGAGGAAAGATCAAAGTATTTTTGGGGTATTTTTTTTTACATTTTTAATCGTTCCTAGCACGTCTGAAATTTTCGTTAAAATATTGTTTTTTTTTTTTCAAAAAAAAAGGGCAGATAATCATTTTCAATCATTTTTTTCGATTTGATAAAAAGATTAAAATCTTACTTTGATATTCTTTTTAAAGTCAATTATCATTTTTTCAAAACTGATTTTAATAAAAACAGATATTATATTGTTTATTTAAAATATTTTGAACCAAGCTTAACTTAGCTTCTGCGCCGAAAAAATGTAATTTGAAAATAAAACAAAAAGCAGGTCATAACCTTTCGCGTCGCTTGACGATTGACGAAAGGCACATTCATGACGTTTAGATAACTTACGGGAGGAGAATTCTTTCTACGGATGGAAGGAAGTGAAATTATTTAAGTGAACAAATTATTTACCTTGTTACTTTTAAGGAAAACTTTCAGCGCTCTAATTTTTATTTTTTTTTTTTTATTTTTTTTATTTTGTACTTAGCTTTTCATTTTTACGTTTTACGATGCTTTATGGAAAATATAAAGAAATTAAAAATAAGACTGTTATTAGTGAGATTAAATTTCATAAGAAAAAGGTATCTAATTAATTTAGGTACCTTTCTTATGAAATTTTATCAGAAGTGTATAAAAATACTATAATTTTATGTACATTTATTACATTTTACTGTGTTATTTGTATTTCCATTCATTTTATTATTAATTTTAATATTTCATTTATGGAAAAATGTCATAACTGAGATTAATATAAAAATAAGATCATATAAATTAAAGTTTAGCAGTAGTTAAATTTCATAAGATGATACTGTTACTTGTAGGTACCCTTCTCAGTTGAAATTGAAAACTCAAATTAACTTCTCTATACGTGTTTCGCAAAAGTAAAGGGCTTAACAGCAGAAAACAATGCTGAACTCAAATAATGCAACTAAATTGTATTCTGGTTGGTCTTCCGTACTTGATAATTACTGTCCGACTATAAACACAAAAAATTACATTTCTTAATTACCATGGCTAATCTGATTGGTCCAAATTATACAATTTTTGAAAGCGCTGACAATGACAATCTCACACGGACATTTTGAAAGGTTGATGTTGCTTTTAACTAATGTTAAAATATTTTTAAAATTCAATTTAAACATTTTTAAAATCTTTTAAAATTAAAGAAATAAGAAATAATTGTATTAAAAATTCAATTTTCATTGAAAAATCTTTTGCTTTCAGAAAATATTGTCCATATTCATAAAAACAAATTAAAACAAATAAAAGCATTTGAAACTAAATAATATGTTTGTTTTATTGAGTTTTGTATGTTACAATTCACAGCTGATTTTCAGGTACGTTGGCCAAAAAAAAAAAAAAAAAAAAAAAAAAAAATGATTTGCATTCTTCAAAGCCTTGTGCTTTTAACTATTGTAATCACTAAAATCGATGGTCTCGAATTTCTAGAGTTTTTCATAAAATTAGTTATGGGGGTGTTAATAAATATAAAAAAAAATATTTCTGCCATGACTTTAATAAAAAAAAATATTTATAATAATTTCGATCATCTGTGAATAGTTTCTAAAAGTTTCATTAACATCTGACAATTATTTTTATTTTGCAAGATTTTCCAAATTAATGTGTGTAAATACAAAAAATGCGTTAAAATGATCTATGTTATTTACTACCCTTGTTGCGACAAAGAGAAACAAGGTTTTTAAATCAAAATTTAGAATATTCTAAAAAGATGGAAAAATTTTTAAAAATAATTAAAAAAAAATAGTTATCTTCTTCATAAAAAATAAGCATTTTGTCGATAAAATTTTGTTTTTCATAAACTTTGGCGTCTTTTTCATCAGACTATGCTCTATGTTTTAGCGATTCCGTGGAGTGACTTAGGTTAAAAAAAGACCCAGGTTGTGTGTGTGTGTGTGTGTGTGTGTGTGTGTGTGTGTGTGTGTTCCTTTATATATGGGATCAGATTTCTTACATTTTTCAGCCGATAAAACAAACATCCACTTTTTTTTTTTGGTAGTATTTCTTATTGTCTTGCACACTTTTTCTTTATTTACATTCAGAATGCTTTAAAAATTCCATTTACAAGACAATTGTTTATAATAAATTCTATTCACCAATCGATAGACTCATAACGATTGTAAACAATGTTTTTTGTTTGAATTTGGGTTTGACCAATTTGTAAAAAAAAAAAAAAACTAATTAAGACATGCGTGTCCGTCAGCCTTAAACAATAATCTTGTCAATTTTATTTTTCAGTCTTTATGATGGTCAATACTGATCTATCTCTTACTGTTACATCCCCCAGGAGCAACGACGGGCTCTACTGCTAGTTTTTATATTCATCTCTTCAGAACGAAAAGTTTTTAGAATTAATTTGTATTAGTGTCCTCATTGAATTATCCCTACCAATTACAAGTTAATATATATATATATATATATATATATATATATATATATATATGTGTGTGTGTGTGTGTGTGTGTGTGTGTATATATATATATATATATATATATATATATGTATGTATGGGTATGTTTGTGTGTGCCTGTATATCAAACATTTTACTATGTGTGCACTTTTTATACAAATTGCATTAATTATCGAATAACATGACTATTTTCAATCCATCACGTTTTTTTTTAAATTCAGCCATATTTTTACTAAGTTGTCAGCGAAACCAAAACACTTTTATTCTTTATTTTTTAATAACAAGAAAGAACTGTCTATATTTCTGAGATGAGTAACTGAGATTTTAACTATTTACACTATTTACAATGTTCGGACTGTTGTCCTCATCTTTATTTTCCTGTTCACGGCGGCTGGACCGTTGTACGCTCCGGCCATCTTCAAATACTCCAGTGGATAAAAGCTTTCGTTGAATTCATTGATTTGACCCAAAGAGTTGTGAGCTTCTAGACACAGCTAGTTCTACATATGACGATAAACGACATCCGGCAGCAAGGCTTCTGATCGAGAGATTGGAGCTTTTGGGGAACGTGGAACCACCTCTTAATAACCGTTATTGTCACTCAACGTTGTTTCAACTCAAGTCGCTGGATTCAACCCACTTTTTTTTTTCTTTTTTTTAATTATTTTTACATAGCTGTAAGCCTGACAAGTGCCACTACTTCGGGTCAGGATGGATCACCCTGACCCGAAGTGGTAGCACTTGACAGGGCCCCCAGCTATGGAAAAATAGTTTTTCGATTTTTGTTTAGTGCTTCACTAATTAAGTATAAAAATGCATTATGGTTAAAATACCAGCAATATATTTATTAAAGAAATGGTCAATATTAACATATTTTTTTTATCGTAAAATGACAATAAATACAACACTAAAAAATAAAACTATTAGCAATGTATTTTATCATCGATAAATTGTGTTCAAAATGCATTTACATTTCGGCATTAAGAAACCCATAGAAGTGTTGACATGCCGTTAAGCAAAAAAAAATCATCCAACCAACTTGCCACAGCAGAGGTGAACAAAATCTTGGAGAGTTGAGTTACTAAAGGGAATTAACTGAAAACTGAGATATCCAGAAAAGGCATGGCATGTGGAACTAGAACATTCTACCGCCGTGGATTAAATAAAGGTTTCAATTTGAAATTTCAACGTATATCACCTGAAAAGGCCGGAGCGTACAACGGCCAAAACGTCGTGAATATGGCAATAAAGACGAGGACAACAGTTCAAACATTGTAAAAAGCGTAAATAGTTACAATACTTCATCTCAGAAATATAGACATATCCTGAAGAAGGCCGGATCGTGAAATAGCCGAATCGTCGTGAATAGGATAATGAAAATGTGGGAAACAATTCGAACAATGTAAATCGTGTAAGATGGAAGTAAAGTTTTGTTTTTTTTTCTTTGTAACGAACTTATAGGAAATTTCTGTCCAAAATCGAAGGTCGATTTATATACGATGACCATCATAAAATACCAATTTATTACCCCAAAATAAAAGGTCGACTTATAAACGAAGAATATAATAATACTGACATTAGCGCAAAACAAAAGTCGACCTGTACATGAGGAATATCATAAAATATTGATTTATTAACTAAAAATCCAAAGTCGACCTATACCCGAGGATTATCATTAAACACGTACTTATTACGTCAAATTCAAAGGTCGACCTATACACGAGGAATAACTTAAAATACTTAGCCTAAAATCTATGGTCGACAAATAAATGAGGAATATCATAAAACACTTATTTATTAGTTTAAATTCAAAAGTCGACCTATACACGGGGAATATCATAAAACACTGATTTATTAGCCCAAAGTGATAGGTCGACTTATACACAAGTACTATGATTTTGCAATCATTTGCATCTGTTTTTATCATAAAAGAAAAAGTCAGTTCAAAATAGACTGAATGCAAATATTTGATTTGTTACAAAATAACGCTTCAATAAATTTAATACACTCTTCTCTGTATTCATCGGCGAGTGACACTTAATAAAGCGATTTACCCAGGTAAATTTATCCGGGTACAAAAGCACAGGTGAAAGGCACCGGGCGAGGATCGAACCCCCTATATCCGAAATGGATTGCAATACTAGCTTATGCGTCTCACTTCATATCATGTTTCAATTATTTTCTGCCGAATTCAAATTAATCAAGATTTTCTTTGATTTCTGATGGAAAATCTCATGCATGAAATTGAAATAACGAAGAATTGTTTTATTATTTTAGTTTCTTTGAATGCTGAAATGTCGTTTGGACTAAAATGGAGGAATAAAGAGAATTAATGAAATATGAACACTAAAAATACCTCATCTCAATTTAAATAAATTAAAATTTTCATTAAGTAACATTTAGTAAATTTGATTTCATAACGGTCTAGATAGATAGATAAATAGATAGATAGATAGATATTAACAGACTGAGATAGATAGATAGATAGATAGATAGATAGATAGATAGATAGATAGATAGATATTAACAGATTGAGATAGATAGATAGATAGATAGATAGATAGATATTATCAGGCTGAGATAGATAGATAGACATTAACAGACTGAGATAGATAGATAGATAGATAGACATTAACAGACTGCGATAGATAGATAGATAGATAGATAGATAGATAGATAGATAGATATTATCAGGCTGAGATAGATATATAGACATTAACAGACTGAGATAGATAGATAGATAGATAGATAGACATTAACAGACTGCGATAGATAGATAGATAGATAGATAGATAGATAGATAGATAGATAGATATTATCAGGCTGAGATAGATAGATAGATAGATAGACATTAACAGACTGAGATAGATAGATCGATATTAACAAACTGAGATAGATAGATAGATAGATAGATAGATAAATAAATAGATAGATAGATAGATAATGAAATGATATATATATATATATATATATATATATATATATATATATATATATTACCCATTATATAACAGTGAACGATTTATGATTAAAAAATCACCTTACGAGTTTCGTCTCTCAAAATGACTTCTTCAGACAAATATCGGTTCTGTTGATGGAATTAATTCTATCTCTAGGCGGTAAGCAATACAAATGTTCGTTACCATTTTTCCGCCCCGAAACGTTAAAGATACAGGGACGTTTAGTTTCAAATTTAACTATTTATAAATTTAACTTCTGATGTATCGAGATGAATAATAGCTGATCTATATTCAATTTTCTATCGCTTTTGTTTTTATTTTTATCAGTATTTTTTTCTAAATTTTCAGTAGTAGTTTTATTATGAAAGGCGATATATTTTATGATCAGGTCGCATATATTTTACAGAGAATTCCGAAGTTAGTGCACTTTCAATAGATAGATGCCTTAATAAATTATCTTTTACTGTAAATTCTGAAGTCGAAATTATGTTAAGACTTATCATGAATGAATAATACATTGGGAGAAAATATCCTTTTTATATTGAAAGATGAAAGATAAAAGAAACACTCATCAAAAATGAATAATAATTGACAAGACTTCATCTAAGAAATTCAGACAACTTAAGACTATTACTACTTGGTGGAAAAGCAAAAGAAATAAGATGAAAGAAAATAAATAAATGGAACGATTGAATATCAAATATTTATTAATAACTTTCATCCAACTCAGAATTCTTAGGGGTAAAAAAATTATATCAGTAAATTAGAAAACTGCTAAATGTTATACATTTTATTTCCGACTTGAATGACAACAAAAATAATTTTGAAAATATCGCGTAAAAAAAAAAAAACTTCGTATAAAAAATGAATCCCTCAAAATGGAATTTTTTTATTATAATTCGACCTACAAAATATAACAATCGCTTTTATTTTTTTGTCTCCATTTTGACTGATTTTGACTTTGTTTTGGTTTATTTTATTTTAAGTCAAAAATGAATAATAATTGACAAGGCTTCATGTAAGAAATTTGGACAACTTAAGACTATTACAACTTGATGGAAAAGCCAGAGAAATAAGATGAAAGAAATACTTATCAAAAATGAAAAATAATTGACATTGCTTCAAAAAGTCCCTTGGATTAGCATTATAACTACTTAGTGTAAAAAAAGAGAAATAAGTTTTAAAATATCATTTAAAAATTAATAATAAACTTTTTTTTCAAATTAAACAGTTAAGTCAATTAATATTACCTAAAAGTATTTATTACCCTATAATAAAATTCTGAAATATGAAATTCACCGACCCTTTTGTTGCTAACATTGACAAAGTTCAAAAATGTGTCAGAATGTATTTGTAAATTATAAAAAGATTTTTGGAAATAAAAGAATTGTTTCATGAACGTCAGAAATAAATTTGTTGTAATAAAGCTTATAAAAATGCCTAGAGTTCGATACGAAGTTTAGTATGGCTGAAGGCTAACAGAGGAGACTAAAAAAAGGAAGGCTGTGTTGCTCCAGACTTTCAAATAGAGAAAGTCATCGAATTTGCTTTTATCCGAACAGAAGTAGCAACTTCTGGCATCAATAGAAAATTTCCAACTACTTTTGACATGAGGAAAAACTTTATTTTATGATTGATACGAGGAAAAACTTTATTTTATGATTGATACGAGGAAAATAAAGAAACATTTGCCCATATCTTATTGTTCGTTGTTTTTTTTTTATGAAGTAAATGGAACGATTGAATATCAAATATTTATTAATAACTTTAATCCAACTCAGAATTCTTGGAGGTAAAAAATTATATCAGTAAATTAACAAACCGCTAAATGTGATACCTTTTATTTCCTACTTGAATGACAAAAATAATTTTGAAAATATCGCTTAAAAAAACAAACTTCGTTTTAAAAAAGGAATCCCTCAAAATGGAATATCTTTATTACAAAGCTACCTACAAAATATGACAATCAATTATATATATGCCTCCGTTTTGACTGGTTTTGACTTTGCTTTTGTGTATTTTATTTTATTTTTTACTACAATTCGACCAATACGAATTTTTTACACAATGGATTAAAATCAATTTTTTTTTTCTTAAATGTAAAATATTTTTGGGCTGCACTTACAAGAAATCTTGAAAACCACATCGTCAGAATTTCTGAAACACCGACTGAAATAAAAAGAAAAAACAGTTTTACTACTGTAAAATTTATTCCTTCTGCTTTCAAATCTGACCAAATTTATAAATAAATTTTTGCATTAAAACCATTTATCTGCGAGATTATAAAAAAAAATGGGCAATAAGGAATCCTGTGCGAAAAAGTCAGATTCTCATCGGGAACTTGAGTTGCTGTTTAAACGTTTTGCTTTTATTTATTTACAATTTATATCAATGTTTTTTTTTCTTTTTCAAGCTTACTATTTGTTTGCCTCAATAGGAGTAGATACATTCGCCTATCGTCCGGTTCACACTCCTCCTGGGTCTTATGAGCAGGAGTAAAAGTTTATCCCTGTTTAAGTTTCCGTTTCTTTCTAAAGTCCTTTTCATTCTCTTTCACTCTCAGCACCCGCCTACATCTTAGCAGACTTATCGCCTGCGTGGGGTGAATTGATTAAAAAAATGTTAAAAAATATAAAAATCCATAAAATGAAAATGTTTCCTTTTTTTTTTCTTTTGTTTTTTTTTTTTCTTTTTTGCAAGACGTGCAGCGATCTGAAAATGTCATTCGGTTTTCGTTTAACAATTCTTTACAGATCGAAACAGAAGTTCTTGGGAAATAGTAAAAAAAATAATCTTATTGAAATTGAATTCCATGTTGAATCTAATAAACAAATCATTTAATTAAAGGAATTAAAATGATTTAAACAATTAGGAACTCGGTTTTGAATTCTTTTTTAAATTCTCCTTTGAAATAGTGACGGATTTTAGGAAACGAGATCTAAATAGTCATTTATTTATATTTATTCAAATTTATTTATATAATTCATCAAGAATTTTTTTTTTTTTGTTTATAGTGTCTGTAAAATTTTGCTGCATCAGAGTTATCTTCCTTTCACTGGTAACATTAAGTGACATTGTCTTTGCTATTTAAATAGAAAAATGTTTCAAGATGCTTACAATGCTGGGAGTGGAAAAAAACATTCAACAAAAATTCAGTTTTCAACAACAAACATCGGAAAGTGTATAGATATTTAATGATTTTCTTTTTTTCTTATACTTTCAAACTCATGAACCACTTGTTTCTTAGTGGTGTTGCTGCCTTCCTTGGGGTGAAATGATTAAAAGAAAACATTATAATAAGACAAAATTCTAATTAACAAAATTATGGTGACATTTTTAATAGCGTGGGTATTAATAAAAGATTCTACTAGACATAAAGTAGGGGATTGTTTACTTTTATTATCAAATAATAAATTGATCACCGAATTACTAATAATTAAAATAATAATTGGAAAATGTATTTAAAGTCTCACATCTGAGAACTTTCTAACACGACTAAGGACTTAAATATATATATATATATTCTGATTATATTCCATCTATCTATCTATCTATCTATATATATATATATATATATATATATAAAATATATATATATATATATGTATATATATATATATATATATATATATATATATATATATATATATATATATGTATGTATGTATGTATGTATGTATGTATATGAGCTAACGATATATGATTTTATATATTAAGAACAATATTGGGAAAAATGTATGAAGAAACGCGTCACAAAAAAACTTTTCCACTTTATCATATATATATATATATATATATATATATATATATATATATATATATATGTGTGTGTGTGTATGTATGTATGTATGTATGTATGTAAATGAGATACACCAAAAAAGACAGGTAATTTTACACCGAATTTGAATTTGAACTGAATTCTGCTTTGACTTATGCGACGGTTCTTGACCAATGATGGCTACTTAAATGGAAATGATGAAACTGTGTGATAGATAGATAGATAGATAGATAGATAGATAGATAGATATATAGATAGATAGATAGATAGATAGACGTAAGCAAGTATCTGAATAAAGATTAAAAATTATCGTCCCAAACCAGAAACTCTTCCCAGCGAAAGTTTGGTGTTGAGATTTAAGATACAGATATTTTTATATATAGTGCTTAATATTAAATATATTAGAATAATATTAAAAATAGTGCTTTAATAATATTATATGAAAATAGAACTTAACTTTTGAATTATCAATTTTTCCCATAAATAAAATTGATATTTAAAAGTTAAATAATATTTTATATATAATATATATATATATATATATATATATATATATATATATGATTTTAAAGCCAGATGGAGGCAGCATAAGTGCTCTTTCAACAATATAAATAAAAGAAATCAAACTTCCCTATCAAAATATTTTTGGCATCTGAAGGAAATAAATAGGACACCTAAAGTAAAATGGAAAATTATAAATAGGACTAGAACTTGTAAAGCTTGGGATGACCCATGCCCTTTGTGCCTCCATGATAATTTGCACATTATTAAGTTTTTAAATAATAAAAATCTATTAAACAATAGACATGAGTTAACGGTTTTTTACCGACATCATCAAATTTATGCACTGAATAATTAGCTGAAAACAAGCATACAATTTAATAACTTTTATAATCCATAGCCCAAATATATAGCTTAAATACCCTACAAAAAAGATAACCCTTTATGAAGCCGTCAAAAAACAAATGTTACGGCAGTTTTTATATGCACAAATCCCTTTCATAAAGAAATAAAATAAAAAAATAAATAAATCTCCATAGACACGTAAACAAGACTAGGCGAAAACATCTTCCGTTTCAAATTTAGACACCCCCACCTTATCCTGACTTGACATTTATGAAAGTTACTTTATACTGATACGTATTATTAATACCCAACACGCCCCTACCTAGTTTAAACAATCGCCCTGGCTGCTACCATGGAAATTTTGATTTCAGTTATGAATATACTATTAAAACACGTAAATTTCAGAAATAAGTTATTCCAAAAAAAATTTCGCTTGAAGATGGAACAGAGCTTACTTTAACTCAATTTAATTCAAATAATGATATTGAAGTTTTCGGCTCTTGTTTTGAAACATGAGACCTCTTATGTCGCGAGTTGGAATCATATTTTTAAATAAATAATTATATATATATATATATATATATATATATATATATATATATATATATATATAAACATATTTGTTAAATATAACAGAAAATTACTGTCTATAATGTCTGATCATGAACCGTTCTAGATTTCGTATGTTTGCTTTAATTTTGGGTGAAAATAAAGACAAAAATTTATTTTCTCCCCAAATTAAAGCAACTATTCCAAGCTTAGAACGGCTCATGATCAAGCATAATACTCATTCATTGTCTATTATATTTAACAATATATGTTTAAATAATGATCTGCTGCCCCAATATACTATATATATGTGTGTGTGTGTGTGTGTGTGTGTGTGTGTGTGTGTGTGTGTGTGTGTGTGTGTGTGTGTGTGTAGGCAGCATATCTTCATTCAATTGTGTTTATTTGAATAATATAGACATATTATGTCTATTTATTTTTTATAATAGTCCTTTCTAGTTCTCTACTTAGCTTCTTGATGTTAAGTTGAAATTCAACAAAGAAGGCGCCATAGTTCTTGTTTGCCTAAGTACTTTCAATCTCCTCAGATCATCCTCAGGAGTGAATTGTGAAGACAAACTTATTGTGACTACGATCGTTATTATTATTTTAAATTTATCCATTATATATATATATATATATATATATATATATATATATATATATATATATATATATATTAAACAATAAAAAAAATATTAAAAAATTAAAATCTTCAGACACACTGGGTTGTAGATTAATATTCTTTCGTTTTTTTTATTATTATTTCATTTAGATTCCACGACTAGTTTCGGCCAACATGGTCATCATCAGGAGAATAAATATTTTTTCTTGCTGGTTGCAGTAAACTACAGTAATGTGTGTCTTGATGGAGAAAATGAACTTTTGTCTGTAGTCTTCATTTGTTTTTTTTATTTTTTATCTTTTAACATGAATCTTTTTAACATTCCTTGTGTTGGTCAAAGTCTCTTTTTGTTGTTATTTGAGATACAGGCTGGATGGATCTATGTTTCTCTGAATTCCTTTTTGTCAGTTTGACAGTTTTATTGGTCCTGGAGAGGGGTGTCTCTGTTTAGTGTTTGTGTGTGTGATATTTGGTTCTTAGGGAGTGAGTGAGTATGATATGTGTAAGCGTGTGTATTGCTGTGGGTGTGTGTTATCATTTGGCTCATTAGGGGGTGAGTGAGTATGATGTGTGGGTGTGTGTATAAGAGTTAAGCCTCAACACCTCCGTAAGCATGTCTGTCTTGTGTGGGTGAGAAATGTGGGTAGGTTTTGATTTGTAAATTTATATATTAGTACTATCTATAGTGTTACATTTATGGTTTAGCCCGGCTGGATAGTGTGTTTTTAGACGTTGTATCCATATATATTTGTATATATATTAATAAAAAAAATAACACCGGTAGAACAATTTTTAGTTTCAAGCACAACGCAGTTTTCCAAGTACAGAAGTAAGGTTGGCCTTTGTTAACACCAGTACTCAATGTGCGATATATATATATATATATGTAAGCAAATATATGGATATAAATCCGACAGTATGAAAGAAAAATACAGAAAAAACAAAATTCTGAATAGACCGAAACGTCCGACGTCGACTTTATTTTAACATTAATAATGCATATTCAGAATTTTGTTTTTTCTGTATTTTTCTTTCCATATATATATATATATATATATATATATATATATATAATAAACGTAAAGGAATTTCAGGAGGATATACATCAAGGAAGAGCTGTATGTTAAAAGACAGATCAAAATTATTTTTAATTAAAGAATATCAAACACTTAAAATCCCATAGGTAATAATTTTTATTTTATGAAAGCTCTAAAAAACAGCTCTCAATCTTCAAGACGTACAAATAAAATTCTCTTTATTTATTTGTAGGTCTTGAAAATTGAAAGCTGCTATTTAAGAGCTCTCATAAAATAAAAATTATTACATACGGGATTTTAAGAGTTTGATATTATTTAATTAATAATATATATATATATTTATTAAAGACATTTTTATGTTTAACGTTCTTTTTATAGATACAAGTATTTAAGTAAATGCTCTGTTTATAATAAACAGCATTAAATAAGGTCGAATTTACTGCTTATGAGCAGTTATGAATGTACGAGATTCATGGAAGATTAAAGTTTATAAGCAGTAAATTCGACCTCCTTTGTGGCCGAGTCGGTTAAGGCACGTCAGCGTAAATGACGGTTCTGTATGGGATGCAGGTTCGAATCCTGTCAAAGGACGAATATTTTCTATGAAAATTTCTCGGACATTCAGGCCGGTAAATGTTATTTAATGCTGTTTATTATAAACAGAGCATTTACTTAAATACTTGTATCGATAAAAAGAACGTTAAACATAAAAATGTATTTAATAAATAAATTGTCGGACTTTGTACATTTCTTAATATATATACGTTTTAAAGTAAGTCTTTTGATCTTTTATTTAATTAGCTATGTGGAGATGATAAGACAAATTGTAAAAGCTTTTATACGGAGAGTTTCGCCGGTGTTACTGGTGTTTCCGCTTCTTCAGGTCGAAACGAAAGACAAAAGTTTATGTCATGAAAAATGCGTTATACTTTTTTTCGGTGATAAATGGGGCAATAAATTATTATAAGCTTATCAGATTTGATGATCAAAAACCAGAAACCGTTTCTCTTTTTGCTTTTTTATACAATAACTAATTAGTTATATGTGTTGCTGTTGTTGTTTGCACGGTTCTCCATTTCGGTAGAATTCATGGGTTAAATTATTTTTTTAATTCTAGCAAAAATTTCAACGGTAAATAAATAAGTAAACAAATAAATAAATAAATAAATCTGATCATTGTCCCGACCCTCTCATGTTCAAAGATTCCTCACCGACTAATTTCCGCTCGGAGATTCTCTTTTGTTAAATTCAATTAAGCCATCTGCTTCAGATATGCAAAACCAAAAAACTAAAAACTAAAACGAATAACAAAACCAGTAACCTAAACTACACTGACTGGATTTCTCTGTGTTGTCGCATAATTTCAAATCAAAAATCAAAATTTGTTAGCAAAAAACTCTCGACGGAAAAATGTTGTGTATGGTAATAAAATAAACACATCACATCTCCCCTCTAGCTTATAACCATTCATCACAATAAAATAAATGTTTTCAGTGCTAAAACTGAATTAGTTAAATAAAACATCATAAGCATTTACTTAAGAGTTCTTGCTATATTACAAAGCCCATGAAATTCACAATTCGATAGTTTTTTGCCTTTGGTAGATTCAAACGTTTTGCTTATTTTTGGGGCATATTTCTTAAGATGGCCAGTTCTTTGTTAATTTCTAAAGATTTAGATTAGTGACTTATTAATTCGACCGTTAACCCTTTCATCCCTGACCATCGCTTTACCGGTGGTAGAGAAAAATAGCGTAATGCCCAGCCACCGGTTGAACAATGGTAGAGAAAAATGACTTAATGCCCATCCACTCGCCATTATTATCTTTCAGTTAAATGCAGAATTAATAGAAAACGCAAAAATAGAGAAATTAAACAATAACAGTTTTTCTTTACGACCTAAACGGACGATTCCGATGAGAAAGATTTTTTTCATTTACATATTTTTAACGGACTTTACATCCTACATATACTATCAATGTCATCCTGTTGATTTTTTTGTTTCTTTGTTGTTGTTTTTTTTTTGTTTTTTTTGTTTGTTTAAGCTGCTCAATATATCATATAGACCCGTGTAAACGTCGATTTTTCTCCAACTATATTTGCATTTAACTTAATAGGACAAATGATTGCACGGAAACGATTTATAAGACTGACATTCATGCGTAAGTCAAAATGTTTGTAAAGTTTTATGAACTTATCTAGCAAATTAAACACACTTACTGAAATAAATACTGATTTTTTGTGAAATTCTGCGGAAATAAAATAAGCACATCACATTTTTAGTAACCCTCCACTATAATAAAATAAACGTGTTAAGCGCTAAAGATGAATTAATGAAATAAAGCTTCATAAGCTTCTATTTAAAGTTGTTGCTATATTACAAATCCCATGAAATTCACAATTCGATGTTTTTTGCCTTTGTTTCGCTTATTTTTTGGACATATTTCTTAAGATAGCGACTCCGTGGTTAATTTCTAAAGATTTAGATTAGTGACTTATTATTAATTCGACCGTCAAGTACCTTAAGTGTTGATTATTTTTTAAGAAAAATATCTTCGACGAAAGGAATATAAAATTCTAGGTAACGCTTGAAAAAAAAATTAACTTGAAAAATTAGTGCCTTTAAATTTTACACGAGTGGAAACAATTTTTTTTTTTTTTTTAAGGATTGTTGTGTTCTTTTTTATCTAACAATCGACATTTGCTGAATTTTGATTTCTCAAAAGCAAAATTCATGAAAATACAAAAACAATATCCTAGTGCGGTGATTCTCAACTAGTGTTAACGCGCGATATAGTCACTGCATATATATATATATATATATATATATATATATATATATATATATATATATATATTATATATATATATATATATATATATATATATATATATATATATATATATATATATATATATATTTATATATATTATAAATTAATTGATTTAAAATATGGTTTTTTTCGCTACACAGTTCCAACCATGTTTCAAAATAGAAGTTAAAAACCCTGAATTTAATTTTTGCAATTAAATTAAAAGCATTAGTTCCATTTCATCTTCAAGCAAAATTTTGGAGTAACTTTTAAAAATTATTTTATATCTTACTGTTCTTTCTTTTATTTATATATATATTTATATATATATATTTATTTATATATATATTTTATATATATATATGTGTGTGTGTGTAAGTAGTAATGATACCGTGTTAGTATTTGATTAAATGAATAAGTATTAAACTTTTTTTCAAATAATTCTTTTCACTATTCTTCGAATAAATATTGAAGAAATCGCGAAAAACGAGAGGCAAAGGTTTCACACTAAATAATCTACACAACGAGTTGAACAGAAACATTGAAATAAATTAAGTTCATATTTGTTTGTATATTTTTTTTTAAAAATCTATATATAATATTTAAATGTCTATACTTTAAACATTTTGTTAAATGTGTTGTGCTATTTTCATTTGCTCTTAGGTGTGCCGTTGCTTCAAAAGGTTGAGAAACTCTGCCATCTTATATTGTGAATCATAAAATTATGGAAACTGACTTTCTATCGGATTTTATTGGTTGGGAAAAATGTTTTAAAATTAGCCAAATAAAACTGAGAAACAATATCGAACAATATCCTAACGGAAAAAAAAGGCATGAACCAGACATAAAATTAACAAGTAAGAAAGAAACATTCTGGAAAAAAAAGTGCATTTCATTCAAGATATTTCGACTTTAATATTACATATTCAAGATATATGATTTCTATAGTTTTTTAGATTTCGAATTGAAATTGATCTCTAGCCTATATTAGCCGAGATGAGAATTTACCTAAAAGAAAAAGATATTTTTTACAAGAAAGGAAATCAATCTAATACAAAAACTAAAAACATTTCAAGACTGCTTAAATATTTTGAAATTTCCCAATCAAAATTACGATTGTTTCTATCTTAAAATTCATAGAAAACCATTTCAGTGGATTTGTGACCCATTTGATTTACTGAAGTCGATAAAATAATTTACAAACAAAACAACGTAAAGAAATTATTTCTTGCTTGTCGCTTAGATTCGTAAATAATAAACATGAAATTATTATAGGTTGAAAAGATTTTAAATAAGTTTTGTTTTCCATGAGGGACGATCGGCCGGTCAAATAAATATGAAAATTAGCGCACCTTTTTCGACGAACTCCTGGGAAATTTTCCAAATTTTTGACTGCTTTTCTCTCACACTTGAATGCCTGCACTTTCTCTTTGAGAAAAATAACAAGATTTTTCATGTGAACGATTCTCATAAATTATGTGTTTTTTCAATGAACCTTTTTTTTTTTTTTTCTTATATTTGAAATTCCGCCGTTTCTGTTATCATTTCCTGAAGCCTTACATTTTCTTATCTCGGGTGCCTATGTCCGTTCCTATTTTTTTTTTTTTTTTTTTTTTTTAAATCCTGTTTTCCCCTTTTCGAAGCAATGTTAATATCTGGACAAGTCAACAGGTCTGGCCTGTTCCCGTGCCAAAGGAATATGGTAGAATGCTTTTGCCAATCTGCATTGTAAATAAACTTAATGTCGGTTGAATGCTGAATGCAAAAAAAAAAAAACGGAAATGAACATCTGAAACAATTTGCTATCGACCTGTACACGAGTTCTTTTTTCTTTCTTTTTTTCAATGAAATAGGGTGTGAAAATTTCCAGAGCACCAAAGCCAAGACGATGAACGACCCGTAGAGACGAGAGGGTGTGACAACCACCAGGTGAATGGAAATGAAGAAACAAAGAAAAAAAAGATAGATTTAAATTTAATGGAGTGAAAAAGGGATCACCATGAGAAAATGAATTGGACTCAGTAACCGTCCAATTACTGAAAAAAAAATATTCGCACCTTTGCCGTGAACTAAAGTGACTGCATTGACTTCAAAGCAATGCATTTCAATTTTATCACTAAGCTCAATTCTACTTTTGCCCGTGAAGAAACAATTTTAAATCTTTCAACAAACTTAAAGCTTTTCCTTTTTTCAAAATAATAATTCCAGTTTACTGGAAAGACATCTTTTCATGAATATTTTTGGTTAATTCAATCGAAATAATGTGTAATGTTACTTTTCGCAAATATTAATTCGCCCCAAGAAATCATAAATTTTAAATCAAAGTTTGTTTAGCTTGCCTCGCAACAACTCCAACCCTCGAAATAAAAATTACCAAAAATCAGGGAATTATTTACATTTCGTAAGTGTGGATAATGTTCGAGGTATCGGAGTGAGCGCGTTGCAGACCCCACGCTTACAAATAGTGCACCCGATTCGCCCACATTTGGGGCGATCGCAAAAGTCAACTCAACCGGAGTGTAATGGAAGGTCGCCGTTTTAGAAAATATTTTTTTATTATTATTTTGGGGTTGAATTAACAGAAAAGATCCCTTCAATTTAATTTTAATTAAAAAAAAATTAATTAAAAAAATTATATTCACACTCCTGTCAGTGGATCTAACTAACGCCTTTATCCACTATGCCATGTGTCCTTCAAGGTATCTATGTATGAATTTCTGGGTATTATAAACCTAATGTCATCAGCAACCATTTTTTTATATGCATATATAAAAAAGATATGTCTATATTTCGGAGATGTGATATTATGTACACTATTTACATTATTCGGACTATTGTCCTCATCTTTGTCGCTATATATATTTATTACAACGTTTCGGCGGTTGTACTCTACGGACTTCTTCAGTTAATTGGAATGTTGAACTGAATCCTTTATTTCGCTCACTGGGGAAGACTATTCTATGTCCTTGACATTCCAACCAACTGAAGAAGGCCGGAGCGTACAACGGCCGAAACGTTGTAATAAATATGGCGACAAAAATGAGGACAATAATCCAAATAATGTAAATAGCGGGAACATATGTAGTGTAGTTATAGCAGAATTGGTGTGTCTACGGCAAGATAGAATAACGGCACGCATCCCTCTCCTGGATGGTTTTACATTCACAAGTTTTCCTTTTTCTAGATGTGTTGCCATCTCAAAGTCAACAGTTCCCTGCTATTTCACTTATAGCTGCGAGGGGGGGGTAGAAGATATGGCTTCATACACTCACTTCTCAACTTGATGAGACAATTACCTCCTGTCTTATTAAGAAAAGTTTGATCGATTCGTTAAGATCAAATTAGCAGCTGTTCTAAAAAAAAACCGTTATTAACTGGGGTAAGGAATGACTTGTTAATTTTAACGCCTTCAATACGAAACTGCCCTCTATCAATCATCTGAGAGACTCCTTTCCGCCTTCCATCAACATGTTTATAAGTCTACCATTCATCCATGCTTTGAATATTGCTGCCACATATGGTCCGGTGCTCCTGCTATATATTTAGAGATTCTTGATAAAATCCAAAGAGGAATCTGCAATGTTTCTCTCCAGAATCTATCTTACATATTTATAAGTCTACCATTCGTCCATGCTTTAAATATTGCTGCCACATATGGTCCGGTGCGCCTGCTATATATTTAGAGATTTTTGATAAAATCCAACGAAGAATCTGCAATGTAATTAGTTCTGATCTGGCATCTCAGGTCAGTCACTTTCCCACCGCCATAAAATAACTTCCCGGTGCCTTTTCTATAATTAAATTCATGGAAATTGTTCTGATGACATTTCTATTATGGTTTCTAGACTTTATAAATTTAAGCGCAGTACCAGATTGGCACAGAGTTTCACCATTTTAAAGTTGAAATGGCGAGAAGTAATCATAAGCTCTATGCTAACAGTTTATTCTATTGCATTTCTTGCTTGTGGAACTTTCTTCCGGCTTCTTGCTTTCCAGTTAACTTTGATGTTCAAAAATTTCAATGCAATGTCAATCGTTATCTTCTGTCTTCTTAATTCCTCTTATTTTATTGTCCTCTCTCCATAATAGTTAATAGTATTTTTTCCAAACTGGATTGTATATTAACATTTTTTTGTTTTATTATTTCATTTAGGTTCCTCGAGTAGTTTCGACAAACATGGTCATCATCAGGAGAAAAAAAACCCTGCTTGTTAGTAGCAGTGAACTACAAGAGTGAATGACTGTCTCTGAAGAACATAAACTGTACCTGTAATTTTTATTTGTTTTTTTTTTATCATTAATTTTGGTCAGTCCTTGTGTTAGTTAAACGGCCTTTTTCAAGTTGTTTTTAAGATAAAGGATGGGAAATTCCTGACTAAAAATTCCTTCCTTGGTCATTTTGACAGTTTTATTGGTTGCTGGGAATGGGATATGTGTGTTAAGTATATTTTATCTTTTAGTTTTTGGAAGTGTTTGTGATGTGTGTATGCGTATATACTTGTATGAATCTGTGTGTAAGTGTGAGACCTCATATATATATAGGTGTGAATGTGGTGCAATAAATAGCGGATTGGAATGGGAAATCGGAGTGCCGATTTCGCATTTCAGTCAGGTTCGTTACATTCACATGTGCAAATAACTTCGGGAAAGGTTTGAATCTATCCCTTCGTCTCACCCGCGCTGTAGGATGCATATAGTAGGACAGACTCTGCTTTTTAGTCTTGGTTGGCAACCATTCAAGGAGAAGAACAACTCAGAATTCAAAACCTGAGGTGGGTCGTTTGGGGATCTTGTGGTGCAATATATTTATCGGTTCCTGTATTCGGTTCTTCCAAAACCTGTAGCTGGTTCGGCACAAGATTATATATATATATATATATATATATATATATATATATATATATATATATATATATTTCTTAAAGAAAAAAACAAAACCGTTGATGGAACAAACGGACAACTCACCAAAACTTAAAACCATTATCCAGATAAAGTCGCAAATAAAAATGGCAATACTGAAAAAAAGGGAGGAGCAAAAACGCCTAAACGTAAACCTAGCAACTCAGTAAAGTGCTCGAAGCCTAGATTGCCTAGACCAAGCAAAAAAAACGCTTGACAACGTTAAATTATATCAAAGAATGGGTCATAACCCGAGTTTCACACTCACGCGATTTTTAGACAACTGATATATATATATATATATATATATTAATCCACGAGAGATTCTAAGACGGGAAGAATTTCGCTTGAAGGCACTAAATTTGGCCTCATCTAAAAGACTGCTCTTCGTGGCCAATTTGGTAAAGACATACCGGGTTTAACGGTAGATATTTTTTGCCCTGAGGCAAAAAGTTTCAAATCCTGTTGGAGAGTGTAAAATTGTCATTAAGAATCTTTTTCGGGCATCAAGGCCAGTAGACGAAAATAAATATTCTGTTTAATAAATGGAGTGCCTTCTCATATACGTGTATTCCCGAAAATAACGTTTAAAGTTTATATATATATATATATATATATATATATATATATATATATAGTATATCTGAATCGTAGTTGTTCTTTTAATCATGTATTGTTGAAAACAATAGTCATTTTGTGTCTAGATTTAATGTTCTTCTTTGGTAATGTACAAATATGCTTTCGCAGATGGCGTTGTTGTGTGTAGATAAATTGTCCAAAATTCATGTTGTGTTGTTCCAGGCTTTTGATTCTCATGAGATATCATCGGAAGACAGTGATTGATTGATTTGATTGTACAACTTATCAACCTTTTCTGGGTTATTTAAAGTCGAAACCTATTTTCCGATTGTAGGGATTTGCTTATAGTAACGGGTGTTCGCCAGCGATCACGACTTTATTTAAGTACTGACCAGGAAAGGTGGAGAAAAGAAAATTAAATACGTTTTAAGAATTTGAATATATCATTAGTCATCAACTTCATAGAACGAACTTTTTATTTTTTTTGTCTAACCCCCAACCTCCCCGAGGATAACTCATGTGAATTGAATGATTCTGGCCAATTTATCCACACACAACAACCACATTTGTGAAAGGATATTGGAACATTAGGAAAAAGATCAATAAATATAACAGACACAAAATATCTATTGTTTTTAACAATAGGCACAGAAACACACACACACACACACACATATATATATATATATATGTACACACACACACACACATATATATATATATATATATATATATACACACACAGATTTCATTAAACATTAAAAAACAAAGTAAAACATAAATATTCCTATAACTGTAGACACATACATAAAAAAAATCCATATATTCAGTTGAAAATAAAAATAAAAATCGCCCTTGATAATGGGTAAAAAGAATAACTGAATGAGAAAATTTGGACAATTTTTACATCCTTTATGGGCAGAAAATAAAATAGTTATACAACACAAGAATTTTTTTAAAATAAAATTTAATCACATTAACTTGTCAGTTGTCTAATGGGACTTGCATAAAAGAGGGATTGCTGCACAGACACACTTATATATATATATATATATATATATATATATATATATATATATATATATATATATATATATATATATGTGTGTGTGCGTGCGCGTGTGTGTGTGTGTATGAATAAGTATAAAATATTACATGAGTAGTGCTGGACGTAATAAAATAAGAATGATAATAAAAAATGTACCTGGAGATTGTTGTGTGCATAAAACTCAAATTTCTACCAAATGGTGAGAAAATAAATACATATTTATTATTATTATTATTTTCTTTGATTTCTGGCGTTTACACATTTCTTTCCGGGTCCCGCCCAGGGACCTAAGGTTAGAAATGGCGTCATGACACTTTCCACTGACAAAAAAAAAAATGATTACATAGATAAAGCCCTTCGTAAGGTGTGGGCTGTACTTGTCAGAACAATTTTCTGTATCTCCTTGAGGCATGGACTTCCAGGAATACACACACACACATATATATATATAGTACTTATCATTCTGTTTCTTGTATAGAATGAAATATATTTGACATGTACCCACTAAAG